CGCATTATCCTGCCCATGTAATTGTAACCCCTCTGTACAGTATGTTCACAAATAAAATAAAATAAAATTTTAAAAAAAAGAAAAAAAAAAGAAGTTTGACTTTGAAAAAGCTGGGCGCTGGTGGCTCATGCCTGTAATCCTAGCTCCTCAGGAGGCTGAGATCTGAGGATCACTGTTCAAAGCCAGCCTGAGCAGGAAACTCCGTGAGACTCTTATCTCCAATACACCACCAGAAAACCAGAAGTATTGCTGTGCCTCAAGCAGTAGAGCACTCGCCTTGAGCTGAAGAGCACAGGGACAGTGCCCAGGCCCAGAGTTCAAGCCCCATGATGACAAAAAAAATGAAAAGAAAAAAAAAGTTTGATTGTGAAAGAGAAAGAAGAGGGCTTTACCTAGAGGATGAATCTGCTTCATGGATGAGAATGGGAAGAGTTAACAGAAGATAAAGATTATGAGGATGAGATCCAGAATGTAAGTAGAGGCAATTATATTGGTCGAATCCAGATAAGCATGCTGGTCTTGCAGGCTGAGATTGAAGGCTTTCTTATTTCTAAGTTTACAATGAGCCCATCTGCTAAAAATCAAGAGGAAACAGTAGGTTGAATGTTCATCTATAAAGGATGATGTTTGAAATGACAACTGTGGAGTGAAAGCAAAAACTGAGTCAGGAAAGCCAGAGTAGTTGTAGAGGGCTTTGTCTTATTAAATATAGCCAGGACCAGCCTCATGCTCTAAGCAATATTGGATTGATAACTGTTCATAGTGATAACTATTTTGATGAGTTAATAATAATTGTTCATGATTAGGAAAAACATCATCCCGAACTACTTTTTCATTAAATTAAATTAATTAATTAATTTATTTTTTGTCAGTCAAGGGGGCTTGAACTCTGGGCCTGGGCACTGTTCCTCAGCTCTTCAACCCAAGGCTAGTGCTCTACCACTTGAGCAACTGTGCCACTTCCAGTTTTCTGGTGGTTAATTGGAGATGAGTCTCACAGCCTTCCTGCCTGGGCTGGGCTGGCTTTGAATCGCTATCCTCAGATCCTAGTCTCCTGAGTAGCTAGGAGTATAGGCATGAGCCACCGGCACCTGGCTAACTTTTTAATTTTAAAACTTACTTTTTAAATACAGCTTGAAATATTTTGTTAAAAATTATCTTTTTTCCAATTGAATTCTCTGTTGCTTGTTGGTTTTAGACGCTTATTGTGGCTTGGATCCGAGCAAACCTCTGTGTGTACATTTCTCGGGAGCTGTGGGATGACTTTCTTGGTGTACTGTCATCTCTCACTGAATGGGAGGAACTCATCAACGAGTGGGCCAACATCATGGACTCTTTGACCGCAGTGCTTGCAAGAACTGTTTATGGAGTTGAGTTAACAAATCTACCTCTGGATAAATTAAGTGAGCAAAAGGAAAAGAAGCAGCGAGGCAAAGGTATTTCCACTCTTTGGGATTTTTACAATTGGAATGAGACTGATGAATGAATATTTATATATCTAACCCATTATTAGTGCGTGACATTTCATAAGGGATTGAACAAGCCACATGTCGCACACGTGTGTGTATGTGTGTGTGTGTGTGTGTGTGTGTGTGTGACTTAGTCTGTTATGTCTTCATTGTAGCCTGAGGATGGCTTGCTAAAGCCACAGTTAATAAAAGCAAATGCATAAGAAGTCAAAACAAAGAAGCCACTGGCATTCCAGTGGAACAGTTTAGAGTTACACTGTGCAATGTAATGATTTCCTAACTTATTTTTAGCAGCAAGTCCTTTTAGTTTTTTCCCCTTTCCAGTTGAAGCTGAACAGATCCCCTTTTGAAAAAACATAAATTAGGTGGTATTTGGCATTAAAATAAGACAGGGAGTCAAGAGCTTGGGCCCTTACTGCCTTATCCCTTTTCACAGCTCTGAGCCTCTCCCTAAACCAGGACCTGAGAGGCTGAAGGTACTTTCAAACATAGGCCCTGTCTAAGACAGCAATTCTCAGTCCAGAAGAAGAGTTTAACCAGGCTAAGGAGACCTTCTAGTGTAGAATATGGAAGAGCTAAAATGGGAGATAATACTTTGCTTACTCAAATTATGTTCCCTGCCTCCAGGTTAAACACACATGTACATGTGCACACACACACCACCACCACCACCACCACCACCACCACTACCACCACTACCCAATATTTTCCCCATACCCATTGTGCAAACTGATCTGTGAAGACATAAATGATGAGTATTAGGAAGGCAAACACTTTTCAGAATGCTACAGAACAATTTTTTTTTTTGGCCAGTCGTTGGGCTTCTACTCTGGGCCTGGGTACTATCCCTCAACTTTTCAGCTAAAGGCTAGCGCTCTACCACTTGAGCCACAGCACCACTACTGGCCTTTTCTGCGTATGTGGTGCTGAGGAATTGAACCCGGGGCCTCATGCACGCAAGGCAAGCACTCTACCACTGAGCTACCTTCCCAGCTCCCAGAACAAATTATTTTTAAAATGAGCATGACAGATAGTTTTATATCACTTTAATTGTTAAAAGGTAAATATTCACTAGAGAAATACCTAACTGTTAAGTAAAAACACAAAACAGACAGAGGAACCCGGAAACAAGTCACAGGTGGCTGTCCCTAGTACATAATTCTTGTGCAGAAAGCCACCCTTTCTTCTTCCTTATATGTTTCTTTTGGGTATTTAACCTTTCATTGAAATAATTGACTAAAGCAATAGGAAAAAAGTTGAATCTCAGATTGCAATCCTGTATTGTTTTGTAGATTTCCCAAAATAGAATTTTGTATTATTTTTGGATTTCATTCTCTCACTTGGACCTTTTTTACTTTCCTTATTCTTTTTCAGGTTGTGTTTTAGATTCTCAGAAAGGGACCACAGTGGGGAGATCCTTTTCTCTCAGCTGGCGGAGCCACCCAGATGTGACTGAGCCAATGCGATTTAGGAGTGCTACCACATCTGGAGCCCCAGGAGTTGAGAAGGCAAGAAATATTGTTCGTCAAAAAGCATCTGGTAAACATTTATTTAATTACTTCTCAAAGAGCTAATTATTATCTAATATGAGTTCACAGGACAAAATTGTTTGAAATTCAACTTAGAATTTAAATATTAGACCTTTATTTAAGTATTAGACCTTCTATTAAGTAATAGGCTTTATACTTAATACTTTAGACCTTTTAAATATTCAACCTTTTATTAAGTGAACTGTCACTTTATCTTTTCAACTTTCTCTGCTGTTTACTTTTCAAATCATAGTTTTTTATATTTATTCTTAAATATTCTATTTATTTCTACATCTTCTGTTGTTAACTTAAGGTGTTAACATTGAGATATTTGCAAAATAGAGAAAAGAGATGCTTGTTTGGACCTTAAGGAAAACAGATTCCTGACAAGTGTACTATGAGTTGCATCATTGTTGTTGCCAAGCAGTGTTAATGTTAAAAGTATGTGGTAACCAGTTCTGACAAAGAAAAAGAAGATGACCGGAAATGTACTTATTACCTTGCTATACCTCTTTGTACAGCATCTTTACAATAAAATAAAATGAAATGAAAAATAAAAGAAAGTATAGAGATGTGTTCTTTTTTTTTGCTTTGAAATTTTGAGCTTTGCATGTCTGTAGAAATTATCTTCATAATATTTGAATGAACAAGATTACTTCCAATTAATCAGACTGCTTTGCTACATTTTACTCCTAAAATTAAAAATAGAAATCTTCTAAAAAGTGCTTTTATATTGTAGTTAATCTTTTTTACTCCCATGATTTAGGTTTAAAACAACTATATATCACTTTCCTGTAGTTTTTCTCATCAGTGATACCATGTAAGTACAGCTGGTAGTCAGTATTCTGTCTTCAGAAAAGCATGTTATTTTTTTTATCCTAAGACAAAGATTTGTTCCAGCCTACCATTTTCAGTGCTTATTAAAAGCCTAATGTAGGTGGTTTAAAATCCTGTTTTCTCTGTGGCATTTGCTGGTAAATTATCAATGCGTTTACTTGCACCTCCTATTTCATTTCTTGTTTTTCTTTGTTCTCTCTTTGAAGACAGACACTATTTCTGACAAGTAGCTTTTGAAGATGTTCATTCATTCATTTGCCCTCTAGTTCCAATGCTAAAAGATCCTTTCTTCTACTACTGGATCCTTCAAAGAAAGCAATCAAAAGTTTGTGGCAAAGAGGCCATCCTGCCTGAGCTTCCCAGACTTCTTGCTGTCCTCACTAACCTTGAGTCCCAATTAAAACTAATTTCATGGCTCAAAATACTTTAAAGTTTATTCTCACATGTTAATGACAGTATATTATGTGCATTATGTATATTTCATGTGCCAGTATTTGGATAAAATTTTGCCTTATAAGCGGTGGCATTTAATTTTCAACAGACATTTTTAGCCAACAGAATTCAGAGTAATTATGGCAGCGAGGTTATGTCTATCAGTGCTCTCAGGATCAGAGATGGCACAACAATGGATAAACAAGAACTTTTGAAAATCCTATAAAGGTTTTTGTAGAATATATACTTAAAAATCATGAGTTTAAAGGGGGCACCCCAGTGGCTCACGCCTGTAATCCTAGCTACTTAGGAGGCTGAGATCTGAGGATCTCCGTTCAAAGCCAGCCTGGGTAGGAAAAGCCATGAAACTCTTATCTCCAATAAACCACTCAGAAGTAGTGCTGTCACTCAAGTGGTAGAGTGCTAGCCTTGAGCTGAAGAGCTGAGGGATAGTGCCCAGGCCCAGAGTTCAAGCCCCATGACCTACCAAAACAAAACAAACCAATCATGAGGTTAGCCAGAGGTCAGTGCTGACACCTGTAATACTAGCTACTCTGGAGGCTAAGATCTGAGGATCACAGTTAAAAGTGAGCCCAGGTAGGAAAGTCTGTGAGACTCTTATTTCCAATAAACTACCAGAAAACCAGAAGTGGTGCTGTGGCTCAAGTGGTAGAGTGCTAGCCTTGAGCTGAAGAGCTCAGGAACAGTGCCCAGGTCCAGAGTTCAACTGACTGCCCCCCCCAAAAAAAAAAATTGAGGTTGGTTTTTGTAAGATTAGTTAAATTTTAAAAAAATGGAGCAATTACTTTTGGTAATGAATATAATTGGGCAAATCTATTTTATGGCTATTACACATATATGTTAGGATATATATGTGCATTACTTCCTATTACATTTTGTAATTATAAAATATTATATGTCCTGATACTAATACAACAAATTGTTTTTGGAATTTTAATGACGTTATTTTATGAAAATAATCTACATGGACTAAACATCAGTGATTTTGTTTAGTACTCTCATTTGTCAGTACTATAATTTGAATAGAGGGCCTTGTGCTTGCTGTGGAAGTCCTCTCTCATTTTTCTTATCTCTAACCATTCTCATTTAAAGCTGTTGTTCAGATAGGGTGTAGGGCTTTTTTTTCCCAGGGCTGGCCTTGGACCACACAGTCTTCCTACCACCCCTTCCAAGTAGTTAAGACTACTGGCCTCTAGTACCACAGGCCCAACTTACTTGTTGAGATAAAGGTCTCACTAGTTTTGGGCCTGGCTAGCTTTAAACTGTGATCCTCCTTATCTTTATCTCCTGAATAGCTGGGATTATAGGTATATACCACCATACCCAGACTCTGTTTTATTCTTTTTTTAAACTATTAAGTAGTAGTACAAAGTGGTTACAATTCCATAAATCAGGTTAAATGCTTCTTCATCAGTGTTCTCCCTTTTTTCATCCTCCCTCATTTTCCCCCTTTTATCCCTACCCTCAAATTACATGATTTTTTTTCTGTTTTGTTGTTGTTCATTGTTCTGGTCCTAAGGCTTGAACTCAGGGCTTGGGCATTGTCCCTGAGCTTCTTTTGCTCTACCATTTGAGCCACAGCTTGACTTCTGGCTTTTAGGGGGTAATTTTGTCTCAGACTTGCATGCCCAGGCTGGCTTCAGGCTAGCTTAAAAAATCCCAATCCTCAGATCTCAGTCTCCTGAGTAGCTAGGATTGAAGGCATGAGCTGCCTGCATCCTACTTATATAGTTCATTTTTATGTGGTATAGTAGCTTGCTTTCCTTTTCTTCTTTTAGGAAACATAGAATAGTTTGATGGTAGAGTTTTATTTGCGAAGAGGCTACTTTTTTATGAGAGAACAATAGCTTCTGAAGCTGAAAAGAGTAATTAGCAATAATCATTAAGGCAGCAATGATTGTTATGGAAGATTCAATAGAAAGTAACTTTATTTTCATAATCATAGTAAGAGGATAGTTTTAGATTATCATATAATAATTAGGCTCACCAATTTCAGTTGGGTAGAGAAAATACTACTAGTGATGACATTAGGAAAATGTAATTACAGAGTACTGACTTTTTTTTAATTGAAAATATACTTAAAAGACTTGGAAAGGAGTTTTAAATAGAAGACAAACCTAAGTATAAATGGTGGTAAGAGTTCTATTGTTCTCATATTTTCTAAAATATAAAACAAAAAAGGATTAAACTTCCACATAAGACATCCAATATTGGGGCTGGGAAGGTAGCTCAGTGGTAGAGCGCTTGCCTTGCATGCCTGAGGCCCTGGGTTCGATTCCTCAGTACCACATAAGCACAAAGAAAAAAGCCAGAAGTGGCGCTGTGGCTCAAGTGATAGAACGCTAACCTTGAGCTGAAGAGCTGAGGGACAGCGCCCAGGCCCAGAGTTCAGGCCCCACAACTGGACCCCCCCCCAAAAAAAATAAAATATATACTTATGACATTTTTAAAAAAAGACATCCAATATTTTATTATTTCTAAAGTTTCTGGTGGGACAAGCATGATGGCACATGCCTTTAACCCCAGCTATAAGAGAGGCAGAGATAGGAAGGGTCATGGTTTGAGGCCAGCCCAGGCAAAAGTTAGACCACATCTCAAAAAAAAAAAAAAAAGAAGCTGGGTGTACACTTGTCATCCCAGTTACAGTAAGAAGTGGAGATAGTAGGATCATGGTCTGTGGCCACTCTAGCAGAAGTGAGATGCTATCTGAAAACTAAAACTAAGGCAAAAACTTGGCTCTGAGTAAGTTCAATCCCTAATACCAAAAAAATTGTTGTGATCAGTGATCATTGGAAGAATGAACAATTCTTTGATTTATAAAGGAAAGGGTTTTTTTGTCTTTTTTTTTTTGGTTTTTAAACAACACTGAAATGAAAAGTCTCTGACATACTGAGAGATGAACAAAGCTTTTAGCAGCTGAGTCAGTTTGATACTTACATTGAAGTTGCCCTTTATTACCTCATATACATCCATCAATACTGGAAATTCTCATAAAGAACTTGTAAAAAGCTGTGCTACTTTTTGCAAATGTGCTACTACCATTAGTAGTTTTACTTCAATGTCAAATAAAGGTATGTTAATAATAAAACAACAACAAAGAAAGCCTTATGATTTGTTTTAAGGGTAAACTCAATTTTATTGATTGTGATGAACTCTTCCTTGTCTCTCCACTTCCCAACTATTTATTTTATTTTTTCAGCAGTGATTAAAAATCTTAAGAGGATCATAATGTTGATACCAAAAAAATATGGGATGGGTTTTATAAGCATAAAATATGATATAAAAAGATAGGTTTCATAGATATTTGGCCTTTTTTTTAAACACCAAATCTTTTACTGTTTATCTTTACTTTCAGATGTTCTTGAGCTTTTAGGATATATGATTTACTAAGTGATTTGCTTTTGAATACAGTCAGCTCTCAGTTAACCAATTTTTGAATTATTTATTGTGGAAGAATTTTTATCTTGGGGCAGATTGTTGCTCTCTTACTATAGTATTTTTGTTGTATATCCTTTAGGAAAGGAAAAAAAAGAAATCTAATTACAGTGTCTGTCTGAATAAACAACTTTAATGTGGACCCAATATACAGCAGAAAAGGGAAGACTAAATCTACAAAGCATTCCAACTAAAATTGACTCTTTGTGGATTGCCCATTCTTTTAAGACATTACAGAGACTGACTGAAAGTTGGCTGTATTTAGAGGCTGTGATTAAATACTGC